GAAATTGAACACAATGAAAGACGAAACCGCAAGCGTAAGTGCAGAAACAGAATAAAAAAAAAAAAAAAAAAACCCGGCTTCGAGCCAGTCGGGCCTGCTCGCGAGTATTTTTTTTTTTGAAAAATATTTATTATTATTTTATTTTTAATATTATTATTATTTTTTAAAAATTTTATTGGGTTCGTGAGATAAAGCAGTTAAAATTTTTCAAACTTGACAAAAACGTGTTGCAAATGGGTCGGATTGAAAACGGGTTGATTCGGACTGACCGTTATGGCCGGGTCGAGCCAAGCCGATCCGTTTTGCACTCCTTTGGTACTCCTTGTGGTGAGTACCACTTTTGTACAGTTCCAAAGAGAGAAGAATGTCGATCTGATTTCCTCTATAAGGGTGTTATCGTAATATTGTTTTAATCTAGTGTTTTGTCTTGTATTTTTTTTTAAAAAAAAATAAATTAAGTTGAACAATGAACATAATATGAATAATACACAGAAAACATTTTTTTTTTACGGAGACTCAGAAACCGCACACCCTCATCCATGGATGCACGCACGGCGTCGAGCCTGAAACAATCCGTAAGAAATATGTGAGCCTTTTTTTTTTTTTAATGCACGTGAATTCTTAATATTTGATCTTTTGGTGCTCGCTTCCACACAATGTTGCAAGCGTTTGTGTACCATTAACGCTTCTAATCCTGAATATCCTGAAATAATGATTCATTATACTTAAAGACGGGTATTATAAAAAAAAAGACCAAAGATTTATATTAATTTCTGAAATTAATATAATAAAAGTGGATGTTACATCATTCGTCACGGATCGCGGATCTTACGTATACACATACTTATATATTCCAATACGAATTTTTATAAACATGTCAACTTATTACATGAACTTTTAATTTTACATAAAATTACACCGAAATTCAAAACATATCAAAATCCGTCATCAAATTCTAAAATTTATTGCATTTTTTTAAAAGACGTTAAAACATCGTTAATTCTCTCCAATTTCTATTGATATATACACATGCATTCATATATCACACACATATAAATATAAGTACATATACATATATTTTTATGTGTATATGTGTATATATGGATATGTGTATATTTTTTATTTTTTACATATATACACATATACATATATGTGTATATGTATATATCAATAGATACATATATATACCCATATTCATACATATATATATAATTTTTTTGTATGTATATGTATATATGTGCTTATATTTGTATATGTGCGTATATATATAAATGTATATGTATGTATACATATATATGCATATGAATATATTCTTTTACAGACTAAACTCTTATAAGCTTTAACAAAAAGAAAAGTAAAAAAAAATGACTGCTACTAATGAATGACGATGAGCTTGAATACAAAATTTTAAAGTCCTTTCTTAAAATTTTAAAAGGTAACATGAAAATTATGGTATACACAACCCTCGATTTGTATAACATGTATATGAAAAAAAAAACATAAGAATTAATGTTGAAGATTTTAAGAATTTATGTTTTAATATGAGATTTTTTAAATAAAAGATTTTTCTGTCAACACCATTAAGAGAAATTAAAAAACCAGGTAAATGCATTGGAGTGGACATTTTTAATTTGTAAAATCCAACAAGTGAATAAAATCTGCCATGTGGATATCTTACGAATTAAAAAAATCCAAATTAAGATTTTTTTATTAAAAATCACAATTATTTCAAATCAAGATCACAATTTATGGGTCCCACGTTCTCTCGAACTCTTTCC